TACCGGTCAAACAGAAAGTGCCTCTAACTTGCATCCGGCAACGTCTGGTACGGTCGTCCATCGAGTTTGGACAGAAACTAACGATTTTCACCCTCTGCCGCGTTCCCCCTTTAACTTAAATGAGTTCACGGAAAGAATAACAAAATTCAATGTCTGTTATGATTGACGCACGCATGCAATCTATGACCCGGCTTGGCCATACAGGGGTCGATCAGATTGATAAAAGCGCATGCAATCAATGTCTCAGAAAATCTCATATCTTAAAGAATCTGTCGCACAACCCCGGCTTGGCCATACAGGGGTCGATCAGATTGATAAAAGCGCATGCAATCAATGTCTCCAGAAATCTCATATCCAAAAGAATCTGTCGCACAACCCGGGCACAACAGGGGTCGATCACGAGATTCAAGAGACCTAAGGATCTCCCAATAAAGTTGAGGAGCAGATGTACCTCACAGGTTTTAACTAAAGGGATTCGGAGAAATTAACCAACTCAATGTTGTAATAATTGATAAAAGCGCACGCAATCAAGGGCTCAGGAATAAATTCTAAAAGAATTGATTGCACAAACCCGGCATGACCAAACGGGGATTGATAAGCACGAGATTAAGTGAGATATAAGGCTGAATATGGCAGTACTTCCTCATACAGCAGACAATGCAAGCCTACGCTGTATCTGATTATTATGAGGACACAGGAGAACATAAAAGAGATAGATTACCTCCCTACCACGTACACCATAGGGCAAATCGTGAATCACGGACATTGCATCGCAGTATGCTCAGAAATACACACCATTCACCCTCTAGCCATAAGATGGACGAACTGACAAAGCTCGTGCTAATCAGGATAGAATTCCTAAGCATGCGCCATCTCATACTGCCACGCAGTCCAGTTACACGGACGGAGAAGCGAGGGAGATGTTACGTCACTATCACACAGTTATAGAACACGTGATTCCCGCACGGCCAGCCGTAGATCAGACGACCGGGATTACGCTACCCTCAGCCATATGACCCAGTCTCAGCACAGCCCGAGTAGGGGGTGCGGATCTATTGCTAATACTGTTTTTTTATACAGTGGGGATTCTACTACGGAGGTTAATTATAGACCAAATAATTATGCCATTAACATATCATTGCAGAACTCTATAAATCTAATCTTTTGATACAAGGACAAAATACCAAGATGACCTTGTTAGAACGTGACGGGTATAGGAGGTACCGGTCAGTTGATTCTAGAATTCCTTACCCTTCCCTGTTCGTCATATATTGATGACGTCATCAAGAATCAAATATTCATTAAATGCTACATTCGGCACTTAATGTTAGACTGGGTATGCCTGCCATTAATAAGAGTGATTACACAAGTTACCCCTGCGCACAACAGCCGAGCATCGTTGAACTTTTCTACTAACGTCATACCCCGAACAATTAGAACGTAGGCCTACACTTAGACACCCCACGGAGATGACACTACAGCAGACCGGATTCATCCACAGCTCACTGGAACACATACTGAAGATGCAGGAAGATCTTCAATCAGCAACCGGACTAACGTCAAGAAGCACAGTTCCTGCTAAAGATGATCATCCCACTTCGCAGAGGAGGAAGCAGAAACAGTCCCCGAAGGGGATACCACCGGAAATGCCTTCAGACCCTACCGACATCGCTTGCCCAATGGACAACGATTTAGAACTACAGAAGACCAAAGATACGACCACATCGAATCCAGTCGAACTAGCCGGTCTCACAGACATCGACCCAAGATTACCCAAGTTCAGCAAGGGGCTATCAGCATCTTAAAAGAGTCAGAGACCACTCACGGGTTCTACTCCCCAGTATTCCAGGTACCTACGCTTTGCAGTCAAAGGTCAGAGATACCAGTTCAGGGTACTACCATTCGGCATATCCTTAGCCCCATGGTTATTCACCAGGATCACCAATCCCATCATAAGGCTCATAAGGCTTCTCGTATATAGACGATTTCCTATTGGCCGATCAGGACAAGCGCAATTAGTTTAAACACAGTGTGCCTCACTACTAACACTCTTAGGTTTCCTGGTTCACCCTCTAAAACAGAGCTAGTACCCACACAGGCATCACCTACATAGGCGCAAGATTCTACTCAACAAGGGCATAGCAGCACCCCCAGAGGACAGATATGCAAGAGTAGAGCACATGATAACAAAGCCCACTCGATCAGGCCGTCAAGTCGAGACGCTGGTGGATGTCTCGCCTATGCCCGCTCACATCTATCCAAGATTTAACCTACAGAGGCACAAGGTCTCAGCCTTTACTGAAGGAGGTTACATGTTTATATGCCTTGGTAGACTCAGTGAGTTGCAAGATCGAAGTAAGACACATTCCGGGGAAGCTAAATATACTAGCAGATTACCTATCCCGGAAAAACAAGATAGTACCCACAGAATGGTCACTACATCCCGAGGTGTTCAAGTGGATAACCCAGATATGGGACACTCCAAACATAGATCTATTCGCCACATGTCTCAACAACAAACTACCAGTCTACGTCAGCCCAGTACCAGACCCACTAGCACTCCAAGTCGATGCGCTCTCCATGGAATGGAAGGGAATGTTTGCTTATGCATTTCCCCCATGGGCTCTCCTAGACAGAGTACTGAAGAAAATAGAGGAAACGGATTGTGTCATAATCCTCATAGCCCTGGCTTGGCCCAAAAGCGGCTTGGTTTCCGAGACTTCTACAACTCCTGCTAGAAGTACCTCTGAAACTCCCAGTACGTCACGACCTATTGAGACAACCAAAGACTGACATATTTTACGGCCGCCTCGACAACCTCCAACTTCACGCTTGGAAATTATCTCGCATAAGATGCAAGCCGACGGTTACTCTAAATCAGCTGCACGAAGAGTGGCTAGCTCATGGAGACCAGCCTCATCTGCCTTATATAATAACAGATGGGACAAGTTCGTCGAATGGAGAAGAGGGAAACAGTTACATGGAGATATAACGATACCTATAGGCTAGTAGCCGAATTCTTGATCCATCTCAGAAACGACAAGAAATTACGACACGGCACTATCGAAGGATATAGATCAGCCCTGTCATCTATAGGTACCCACCCAGTACTAAATCGACTTATGAAGTCTTTTGCCCTGGAAGATATAAAAGTACCACGTACTTTTCCTAAATGGGATCTATCTATAGTATTGTCGGCATTGATGAAAGCACTGTATGAACCCATGAGTAGTGCGACATTACTATCAGTCTCCAAGAAAACTGCTTTTCTCTTAACCATGGCTACGGCGGCTCGCGTGTCAGAACTACACGCTATTGATATCTCCACTGTAACCCATACCAAAGAATGGAAAGCAGTGTCGTTCAGATCGCTCCCTGAATTTATTGCCAAAAACCAGTCGTCAACCTTCGGCCCACTCGGACATCGGCAATACACAATACCAGCTCTAAGTAAAAGTGTGGACTTCCCGGATAGATTGCTTTGCCCCATAAGAGCCTTGAGATATTTTATCACAGCGACTCAACCCCACAGAAAGCAGAGAAAACGCCTAATTATCTCTTGCAAGCCCTCGTCAGAAAAGGACATCGCAAAGGGCACTGTAGCGGGATGGCTAAAAACAGTTATCACAGATAGCTATAAAACGGCACAAATCTCCACTCCGATTTGGGGTAGCTGCAGACCCCACGAAATCAGAGCACTGGCAACAAGCCTAGCCACATGGAATACTGCATCCATCGAACAAATCGTGGCCAGCTGCCAGTGGAAGTCCCACAACACTTTTTCAAACTTATACTTACCAGACATACAGACCGATCTAAATGGACTATACACTCTGGGGCCTTTGGTGGCCGCCCAGGTGATAGTTACCAAGTAAAGTAACCTGTTCCCTCCCTCTTCCAGGAAAGGGAAAAAAGAGGGGGGGGTGAAGATTTCAGAAGTACCTCAGGAACTCAGGGTAAGTTGTACTTTGTTACTGGACTTCGCTATTGAGTTAGTAAAACAGGGCAAATGTCAACACTGAAATCAGAGATCGAAGGATTAAGTGATATACGGTAATCTACATGATAGGAAGGTTAATGTACTACCACCGGAAGTGACGTCATAGGAGTCATCACACCGGAGAAACGTTAAGATACGTTAAATATCACTATCCAAAAGGGCATAACGGTAAACCACGTCATAAGTGATACGGGAGAATAGTGACACCGGAAGTGACGTCACAGATGACGTCATCACCGGAAGTGACGTCACAGATGACGTCATCACAGGAAACGACGTCACTAAAAAGTCTAAGTATCACAAGGGAATATACATATACCCTTCACATGACGCCTTGAAAAGTCTATACGTCTAAGTCTTGTAAGTAGACTATTAGACACATCCGTTTAAGACCCCTTTTGGCATATAATCCTTGGTTTTACCACTTCACTAGCCAAATATCTATGGGATGCTAGATACCAGAACCCGCCGGTCCCTCTGGTGTATACTGGCACTGATGTGATAGAGGTGAGGTATTCACAAGAATTATCAAACAATAGTTATCATTGTGAATAATTCTAAGAATACCACCTCTATCACATCAGGAATTAATCCCTCCCACCTCCCCAAATATCTGCATCTAGTTGATGAGAGTATGGGTTGAAAGAAGTGACTAGATTCCCGCCTTGCGCATGCGCAGTGGCGCCTCTGGCAAGGGATAGGGTTTCCCTCACAACTATGGATATGTTGGCAGTGTAGTGGACGTCTGTTGAAAATTTATAAAAAATTTATAGTGTGGTTCTCAGCATAAACAGGAATTTATGGCACTGATGTGATAGAGGTGGTATTCTTAGAATTATTCACAATGATAACTATTGTTTGATATCACCTCCTGTATATCCCTTATAGCACCGCCTGTATATCCACAATAGCACCTCCTGTATACCCACAATAGCTTCTCCTGTATAATCACAATATCACCGCCTGTATATCCCTAATAGCGCCTCCTGTATATCCCCAGGCTGTGTGCTGCTCTGACCACGTCCACTGCTGTCCATCTGGGATGACCTGTGATGTCAGTCAGGGCACCTGCAACAAGGACGGCATCAGCATCACCTGGGAAGACAAGAAGCCGGCTCGGGCCCGAAAGATGCAGCACATGGAAGGACAAGCCAAGAGTCTGAGCCTCGCCAGCAGTCTGGGCATCAAGCTCCAGGCAGACTCCAAACCTCTTGGCAATGTGATGTGTCCTGACCAAAAGTCTAGTTGCCCAGACAACAGCACGTGTTGCTCAATCACATCCACACAGTTTGGCTGTTGCCCCCATCCCAAGGTAAATTGTGAACATTAATTTTAGCTCAGGTTACTGAATGTTGACATGTATACTCTGTGTGCTGACAGTGTTTGATGTCCTCCAGCCATGATAAGCTTGAGTTTAACTAACAGTGGCATAACATCCTACCAGTCCGAGATGAATTCTGCAATTCCCTGATCGCGGAAAAATTGCAGAAAATGTAACTCACTGCGGAATTGCCGAAAAAGTGGCCTTATTCATTCATTGCTGTATCAATTGTAGGAAGGGTGTTGTACTGATCACATCCACTGTAGGGTGTGTTGTACTGATCAGATCCACTGTAGGGTGTGTGTTCTACTGACTGTAGGGTGTGTCGTACTGATCACATCCTCTGTAGGGTGTGTTGTGCCAACTGTAGGGTGTGTGTTCTACTGACTGTAGGGTGTGTGTTGTACTGATCACATCCACTGTAGGTTGTGTTGTACTGATCACATCCACTGTAGGGTGTGTGTTCTACTGACTGTAGGGTGTGTGTTGTACTGATCACGTCCACTGTAGGGTGTGTTGTACTGATCACATCCATTGCTGTCCGTGTTGCAGGCTGTGTGTTGTACTGATCACATCCACTGCTGTCCAGCACACACAACCTGTAATATTGCTCTCAAGAAATGTTTGCAAGGGGACTCTATGATTGATTGGTCTGAGAGGACTCCTGCAAAGGGTTCAGGGAAGCCAAGCCATAGTTTGGAGTCTGACCTGATCCCTCCCTATGCTGTCATGTGTCCTGATGGGCACTCGGAGTGTTCTGATGGGTACACTTGCTGTATGCTCAACACAGGCGTATATGGTTGTTGTCCTCTGCCTGATGTGAGTATCTGTGTGAAACCCTTGCTTAGTTCATGCAACATGGCAAACCATCCAATACACAGCCATCAAACACTGCACATCCTGTGTGGTACTCACCTTGACACTTGCTTTGTGCACTGTGTCAACCTCCTCCCTGAACCTTTCATCAAACACTAACTCCTGACAGACCTGACCTTGCCCTTGCATCAAACACAACCTCCTGACAGACCTGACCATGCCCTTGCATCAAACACAACCTCCTGACAGACCTAACCTTGCCCTTGCATCAAACACAACCTCCTGACATACCTGACCATGCCCATGCATTAAACACAACCTCCTGACAGACCTGACCTTGCCCTTGCATCAAACACAACCTCCTGACAGACCTGACCATGCCCCTGCATTAAACACAACCTCCTGACAGACCTGACCTTGCCCTTGCATCAAATACAACCTCCTGACAGACCTGACCATGCCCTTGCATCAAACACAACCTCCTGACAGACCTGACCATGCCCTTGCATCAAACAAAACCTCCTGACAGACCTGACCATGCCCTTGCATCAAACAAAACCTCCTGACAGACCTGACCTTGCCCTTGCCCTTGCATCAAACACAACCTCCTGACAAACCTGCCCTTGTGCTTGCATCAAACACAACCTCCTGACAGACCTGACCTTGTCCTTGCATCAAACACAACTTCCTGACAGACCTGACCTTGCATCAAATACAACCTCCTGACAGACCTGACCTTGTCCTTGTATAAACACAACCACCTGACAGACCTGCCCTTGCCCCTCCCGTCAAACACAACCTCCTGACAGACCTGCCCTTGCCCCTCCCATCAAACACAAGCCGTTACAAATGATGTTGCTGCTGCTGCTGCTGCTGTATAAGCACCCATACACCATGTATACAGTCCCTGCTGATGCATGGGATGTCTCCTGGCATCTCCAACTGATGCTGTCCCCTGATAAGTCAGTATTTACATTGTAACATTTTGCAGAATCGAACACCATGTTCTATCATAAAACTTTAACTGAAAATTTAGTATAAGTATTCTGGTACAGAAAATAGACAGTTATTTAAATAGAAGGATGATGGATGATGTGTCCTACTGTAGTTCATGAGTTCCATGATAATATTTGTCTTATTCTGTTACCCAGTTATGCATATGATCACCGCTCTAAGCTTAGATTTTCCTGGGAACCACTTGGTTCCTTGTGACCCGTGAAGACCCGGGGTAGAATAGGTCTTCAGCAACCCATGCTTGTGGTAAGAGGCGACTAATGGGATCGGGTGGTCAGGCTCGCTGACTTGGTTGATGCATGTCATCGATCCCAATGGCGTGGATCGATGCTCATGATGTTGATCACTGGATTATCTGGTCCAAACTCGATTATATACAGACGGCCGTCATATAGCTTGAATATTGCTGAGTGCGGCGTTAAACAACAACAACAAAAAAACTTGGTTCCTTGCACTTCAGCGAGCCACATTAACATTTTAGAAGCCACCTTGATGTAGGCTAGTTTAAAAAAAGAGAAAACAAGACTGAAATCGTTCTGATTGTCAGACAAGTCATTAATAACAATAAATGGATTCCACTAAGCCTAATATCAAGGTATTTTAAAGCTGCCTATTCATTTTGTTCCGATGTTTGTTTTGTGCATTCATTAGACTCTCTGTCGACCACACTGCATTACCCTACATCTTACAGTACATGTATCTCGGTTAAACATTGCTATAATAAACTAAAAGTAGATTTTAAAATTTGTCCACTGTTTTGTGCATGCAGCCATGATAAAAAATATTTCTAAAATTTCTTTCTGATTTTTGGGGGGCAAAATGTGGAAAAAAACATTGAATATTTCAAATGATAATTGTTTTGCATCTTTCCAAGGCAAGGGACTTACTTGAGTCCAGTTTCCACCCATGTCGAACTGGGCTGAAATTTCCAGTCTTGATCATAGCGCCACCAGTGTATATTACAAGTTCATAATGTCCCTTCTATGCCTCTCCTATTAACCAATCAGATTCCATCTCTCATATCACTTGCATTTGCTTCAAACAAAATGGTGGCTTTCAGTTAAGACAATCTGATTGATGATTAAGATATATTTTGTAAGAAGACTGGTCTTACCTTGTGAAGTGCATAAAATCACATGAGCACCTTGATTAAATACATGAAAAGATTTGGAAAATATCTGTTGACGCCCAGTTGACAGTACACATCTTTTCTAAATCCTGCAGTGGACCGAAATCTGCACATTGAAATCCATGTTGATAACGAAGCTGATGAAGGTTTATGTTACACGATTGTTATTGGACAATGTATAGACAATTTAAAATATAACTTCATAATTGCAGCTGAGTTCAGCAAGGGTGGAAACTGGACTTCTATTGTCAGTTAACTCCCTTGCCTCAGGAAGATGTCATTTTCTTGAGCTAGTGTTGCAGAAATTTACATTTTAAAAATATAATGTTTGGACTACTTTCTCTGCTAAATGACAGATAAATTGGATCATATAATTTACTCATTTTCAAAATAATAAAAAAATAAATTTTAATCAGAACTCATCAGGATATCAGTGAACAAAATTGGTTTCTTTAAAAATAATATATTTGTTGTAAAATTATTATCATGCTTCCCTGTTTCTATTAAGTTTTGTTGTACACGAGGCCATGAAAAGTTAATTACCAGATTCTCATCCAACTTTTGAGAAAAAGGGAGGCAGGAGGCTTTTGCCAAAGAATGCATGTTAATCCTGTTAGTACACTATCTGGTTATGAAGAGTGTTCATTGAATATCTGGACTTATGTTTCTTATCTATTTTATGTATTGTATTCAAAACTTCGTTCATAACTGTTTGCATTAATTTCGGCAGATCGCTCATTCTCACTGTTATTTACAGCAATGACAATCAGATTACCGCTACTGGGACTTTGAAACTAACGTTAGTTGACAGAGAATGAAGACATTTATCAATAGTGCCTTATTTTGTCTCGTTGAAAGTCGTATTTGTTCTTGTTTGACTATTACATGTCAACATGTTCTTTTCGAATTAGCAAAAACACAGGAAGTCTCCAACGGTGGCCCGCCAAACTGTTCCATATGTAAATAATTCCAGCTATATATCAAAATGCTACACTTGTGATTGTTATTATTAATTAATAAAGCTGCAATCAAAGTAACCCAATATTGGAACATGTTATTGCTGGAAAAATAATAGTTTCAAATACAATTTCTTCGGATGATCGCATCAAAATACCTTCATGTTTTATCATTGGGTCTTTTTTAACCGATTCACCGGTAGATCCTGGAGATAATGCGTATACAGCTGATTGCTATTACTGGCTTAGTTTAGGAGACAAATAATCTTAATCTCTGAATAGAAAACAATGCCTAGCTGAATACGAAATATAACTGAAATGGTAAATTACCAAGTCTAGTGATGTTTTTTCACGATTTTCACATTTTCATTGACCAAGTTTGTTATCGATCTCCTGAAGCAATATGATGTAGTTTTTGACTGCGCTTTGACAAATACTCAAAATATCAGTGTAATGTCAGCATGTGTGCTCGAAGGGAAGTGAAGGGAACTCTTAGCATTCAATCATCGCATAACATTTTTTATTAGACTTTGGAAGTCTTTAGACAAGAGCATCTGTGCCTATGTCTTGCATCTTGACCTCTGCAAGGAGAAAGCAGCAGGGCATCCCAATGTATCAATTACACTCATGGGTGGTCATGATATCGATCACTGAATTGTCTGGTCCAGACTCAATTATTTACAGACCGCCGTCATATAGCTGGAATATTGCTCAGTGCGGCGTTAAACAACATAACAACAACAACAACAACACTCATGGGCAGGGCAGTGATTATTAATGATAAATAGTGCTGAAGTCAATCCCTCAGTATATGGTCTCTGACCAAGCCAAGTAGCGACCTAGCAATAAATAAGGTTACAGAATGGTAATTTGGATCACGGTTACAACTTGGAGTTCTGATATACGAATGGCTACTTACATAGAACAATATAATTAACACTGACCTGCTTGTGGGAGCAGATTTGCCTGAATATTTGAAATATATCCTCAGGGTAGGTAGTTAAGATGTCATTGTCATGATATGATTATCAGTAGTGCTGAGTGTGTGTGCTAGTCAAGGAAGTCAAGGGATGACTCTGGCCGTGCTGTAACTCCTACCGACCGCCTCCGTGGTCTAGTGGTAGAGCGTCCGCCCGGAGAGCAGAAGGTCCGGGGTTCGATCCCCGACCGCGTCATACCAAAAGACGTTAAGAGATGGTACTTGTTGTTACACTGTCTGGCGCTCGGAATTAAGGGGCTAAAACAAGGACTGGTCGGCTCGGAGTCAGTATACTGTGTCTGAGTGGGATATTCATGTTAAACTGCGGCATGGTATCTCAGTGAGCTAGCACTATAAATCGGCGTCAGTCCGGACTAGTACAAACAGTCACACACACACACACACACACACACACACACACACACACACACACACACACACACACACACACACACACACACACACACACACACACACACACACGTGCGTGCACGTCGCTTTATAAGTGCAATAATCTTGGACGCGATGTTAAACCCCATTTCACCTCACCTCACCTGTAACTCCTACCCGGCTGTTGTCTTCCAGGCTGTGTGTTGTTCCGACGGAGTCCACTGCTGCCCCGAGTACATGTCCTGTAACCTCACCACACAAAAGTGTCAGGGAGACAGCATTCAGATCTCCCTGCCCCTCTATAGACACTCTCCAGCCCGAGTCCTCCCTAAGGCTAGCAGCATCCAGTGTGACTCAGGCCACGAATGTCCTGATGGAAGCACCTGTTGTAAAATGTCCACTGGTCAGTGGGGATGCTGTCCTCTGCCAGAGGTAAGGAAACCTGTTTTACTTGACAACAGGCTTTAATCCTTAGTGGCAAGTCCTTGTCAACTGGCTAAAGAGTAAGTCCCTACCCACTGACTTTAGGGTAAGTCACTATCCACTGACTCTAGGGTAAATCCCAATCAACTGACTCTAAGGTAAGTCCCTATCCACTGGTTCTTGAGTAAGTCCCTATGCACGGACTCTAGGGTAAGTCCCTACCCACTGACTCTAGGGTAAGTCCCTATCCACTGGTTCTAGGGTAAGTCACTATCCACTGGTTCTAGGGTAAGTCCCTATCCACTGACTCTAGGGCAAGTCCCTATCCACTGACTCTAGGGTAAGTCCCTATCCACTGGTTCTAGGGAAAGTCACTATCCACTGGTTCTAGGGTTAGTCCCTATCCACTGACTCTAGGGCAAGTCCCTATCCACTGACTCTAGGGTAAGCCACTATCCACTGACTCTAGGGCAAGTCCCTATCCACTGACTCTAGGGTAAGCCACTATCCACTGACTCTAGGGTAAGTCCCTACCCACTGGTTCTAGGGTAAGTCCCTACCCACTGACTCTGGGGTAAGTCCCTACCCACTGACTCTAGGGTAAGTCCCTATCCACTGGTTCTAGGGTAAGTCACTATCCACTGGTTCTAGAGTAAGTCCCTACCCACTGGTTCTAGGGCAAGTCCCTATCCACTGACTCTAGGGTAAGTCCCTACCCACTGACTCTAGGGTAAGTCACTATCAACTGACTCTAGGGTAAGTCCCTACCCACTGGTTCTAGGGTAAGTCACTATCAACTGACTCTAGGGTAAGTCACTATGCATCTGTTCTAGGGTAAGCCCCTATCCCGCAGTTCTAGGGTAAGTCCCTACCCACTGACTCTAGGGTAAGTCCCTACCCACTGGTTCCAGGGTAAGTCCCTACCCACTGGTTCTAGGGAAAGTCACTATCCACTGGCTCTAGGGAAAGTCACTATGCATCGGTTCTAGGCTAAGCCCCTATCCCGCAGTTCTAGGGTAAGTCCCTACCCACTGACTCTAGGGTAAGTCCCTACCCACTGGTTCCAGGGTAAGTCCCTACACACTGGTTCTAGGGTAAGTCACTATCCACTGGCTCTAGGGAAAGTCACTATGCATCGGTTCTAGGCTAAGCCCCTATCCCGCAGTTCTAGAGTAAGTACCAATCCATCTTTTTAGTTCACTAGCCAGAACTTAGCTCTCAGCATCATTTGCAATACATTGTAGAGTTTTATTAGCTGATGTTACTAGACTGAACAGAATTTTACTAGACTTGGTCGTCAGACTAGTGGCTGTAGTTGCAAACTGAGTCCCTATCCACTGGCTCTAGAGTAAGTCCCCCTTCACTTGGTTCATTGTGAACCCTATCCACACACCCTATCTCTTCCCTATAAATCTCTGTCCGTTCACATCATGACTAATGTATCCTCCTTCCTCTATTGCAGGCTGTGTGTTGTTCGGACAAGATTCACTGCTGCCCCCGGGGAACCACATGTAGTGTAGGTGCAGGCATGTGTAGCCGTGGGGGCGTGGCCGTCCCCTGGGCAGAGAAGACGGCAGCCACAAAGACCGCCCTGAAGGCCCCTGGTGCAGGTGTGTTCACCTGCAACGGCACCACAAAACAGTGCAATGACGGAGACACCTGTTGTCGGGCTGCACAGGGCTACATGGGCTGTTGTACTTTCAGCAATGTAAGTCTGCCTCTATTATCATCATCATCATCATTATTATTATTATTATTATTATTATTATTATTATTATTTACTGCAGGTATCCAGGTACTAGTATCTTCTCAAATGCAGTTTTATTTGATCCAAGACCAGTGGATCCATTTGCATTCCAGTTATCATTCTCAACTCCCTGGGGGGTATACCACCCAAACTGTCGCGGGGTGCTTGAAGGTTTTTACATCCACCTCACATATCGGGTACCCATTAACATAATTATTGATGCCGCATTTAAAAACTTAAGTTTGTCATTAAAGTCAAACAGGTGCAAGCTGCGCAATTCACGTTTGCAGAATTGTCTGCAGACTGCTAATTGAGAGGATGTTGTATGACTGACCCGTGAAGATCAGGAGTAGAATAGGTCTACAGCATCCCATGCTTGCCATAAAAGGCAACTATGATTGTCGTAAGAGGTGACTTACAGGATCGGATGGTCAGGCTCACTGACTTGGTTGATGCATGTCATCTTATCCTAATTGCATGGGTCGATGATCATGATGTAAATCTTTGGATTGTCTGGTCCAGACTCGATTATTTACAGACCGCCGTCATTTAGCTGGAATATTGGTGAGTGAGACGTTAAACAACAAACCAACAAATGTTGTATGACTATATTTTGTCTCCATCACCAGGCTGTGTGTTGTTCCGACGGGACCCACTGCTGCCCCCAGGGAACCACCTGCGATGTTGAGAGTGGACACTGTCTCAGATCGAACAACGACAGGTCTTTGGCGTTGACATTAAAAAAGTCTGTGTCTGAGGTGAGTACGAAAAACTTTTTTTATGGACGATTGTCCTATGTTTATGAGAATAATTTGTCTTTAAACTTGGGTCTTCAACTGCAATAGAGTCGCTCTTCAATAGCTCTCTGCCTTGAACATGGGTATTCATCAATAGCTTTCTGCCTTGAACATGGGTATTCATCAATAGCTTTCTGCCTTGATCATGGGTATTCATCAATAGCTTTCTGCCTTGAACATGGGTATTCATCAATAGCTTACTGCCTTGAACATGGGTATTCATCAATAGCTTTCTGCCTTGAACATGATAATTCATCAATAGCTTTCTGACTTGAACATGGGTATTCATCAATAGGTTTCTGCCTTGATCATGGGTATTCATCAATAGCTTTCTGCCTTAATCATGGGTATTCATCAATAGCTTTCTGCCTTGATCATGGGTATTCATCAATAGCTTTCTGACTTGATCATGGGTATTCATCAATAGCTTTCTGCCTTGATCATGGGTATTCATCAATAGCTTTCTGCCTTGATCATGGGTATTCATCAATAGCTTTCTGCCTGAACACAGGTAATCATCAATAGCTTTCTGCCTGTGTTCAGGCGAAGCGATTGTTATGCATCGGGTGCGTTTTGGAGAACAGATTCTTTATTCAAAACTAACATGACTGCACGTGACATGCGATCTATAGGCTCCGAATGTGTTTTGGAGCACATTTTTAATTAACAAACATGTCTTCAAAACAGGTATTCCTCAGTAGCTCTCTGCCTTGAACATGGGTATTTATCAATATCTTTTTTCCTTGAACATGGGTATTCCTCAATAGCCCCGTGCCTTGAACATGAGTGTTTGTATACAAGTAGCTCTCTGCCTTGAACACGGGTATTCATCACTAGCTCTCTGTCTTGAACATGAGTATTTCTATACAAGTCATGGGCGGATACAGAGGGGGGGTGCGCACCCCCCCTTTTTATTTCGAAAAAAATCTTTATTTCTGTATAAATTACCACCAAAGACAATAAATAGATCTTAATTGTGCACCCCCCCTTTTCAAAAAAGCTGTATCTGCCCATGCAAGTAGCTCTGTGCCTTGAACATGAGTATTTGTATACAAGTAGCTCTCTGCCTTGAACATTGGTTTTTATCAATATCTGTTTTCCTTGACCAGGGATATTCATCAATAGCTCTCTGCCTTGAACATGGGTATTCATCAATAGCTCTCTGCCTTGAACAGGGGTATTCATCAATAGCTCTGCCTTGAACAGGGGCATTCATCAATAGCTCTCTGCCTTGAACATGGGTATTCATCAATAGCTCTCTGCCTTGAACATTGGTTTTTATCAATATCTGTTTTCCTTGACCAGGGATATTCATCAATAGCTCTCTGCCTTGAACATGGGTATTCATCAATAGCTCTCTGCCTTGAACAGGGGTATTCATCAATAGCTCTGCCTTGAACAGGGGCATTCATCAATAGCTCTCTGCCTTGAACAGGGGCATTCATCAATAGCTCTGCCTTGAACAGAGGCATTCATCAATAGCTCTCTGCCTTGAACAGGGGCATTCATCAATAGCTCTGACTTGAACAGGGGCATTCATCAATAGCTCTGCCTTGAACAGGGGCATTCATCAAGAGCTCTCTGCCTTGAACAGGGGCATTCATCAATAGCTCTGCCTTGAACAGAGGCATTCATCAATACCTCTGCCTTGAACAGGGGCATTCATCAATAGCTCTGCCTTGAACAGAGGCATTCATCAATAGCTATGCCTTGAACAGAGGCATTCATCAATACCTCTGCCTTGAACAGGGGCATTCATCAATAGCTCTCTGCCTTGAACAGAGGCATTCATCAATAGCTCTCTGCCTTGAACAGGGGCATTCATCAGTAGCTCTGCCTTGAACAGAGGCATTCATCAATAGCTCTGCCTTGAACAGAGGCATTCATGAATAGCTCTGTCTTGAACAGAGGCATTCATCAATAGCTCTCTGCCTTGAACAGAGGCATTCATCAATAGCTCTGCCTTGAACAGAGGCATTCATCAATAGCTCTGACTTGAACAGGGGCATTCATCAATAGCTCTGCCTTGAACAGAGGCATTCATCAATAGCTCTGCCTTGAACAGAGGCATTCATGAATAGCTCTGTCTTGAACAGAGGCATTCATCAATAGCTCTCTGCCTTGAACAGGGGCATTCATCAATAGCTCTGCCTTGAACAGAGGCATTCATCAATAGCTCTCTGCCTTGAACAGGGGCATTCATGAATAGCTCTCTGCCTTGAACAGAGGCATTCATCATTAGCTCTGCCTTGAACAGAGGCATTCATCAATAGCTCTCTGCCTTGAACAGGGGCATTCATCAATAGCTCTGCCTTGAACAGAGGCATTCATCAATAGCTCTCTGCCTTGAACAGGCGCATTCATCAATAGCTCTGTCTTGAACAGAGGCATTCATCGTTAGCTCCTTCCTTGAACTCGAGACTTCAATAATATCTTGAACAGATCAAGGCTTCAACACAGCTGAAGTCTCTACCATAATGAGCATTTGTCAAGTGGGTCAATTATATCCTGAGACTATATAATCCAACCAACACACTTTATACAGCAGTCACGTGAGACGAATGCACCTTGACATTTACTCATGGGTCGTGAGGTCGTGGGCCTTGAGTGGAAGTGGAAAGCACTGTTTGTGAGAACTGTTCACTTGTTACAGGGAGGATGTAGTGTTTGATATCCCATAGTAAATTCATTCCCATTCCAATGCTAATCACTTACTGCCTGTGTCAGTAGTAATTTTGAGAAACAGTGCTTAAAGTGTACAAGGTCACGTCATTCATCAACTTTGGTGGTCTTCAGCAGCCTATGCTTGTCATAAGAGGCAACTAACAGGATCGGAAGGTCATTCTTGCTGACTTCGTTGATGCATGTCATCGTAACCCAATTGCATAGGTCGATGCTTATGATGAAAACCACTGGATTGTCTGGTCCAGACTTTATTATTTACAGACCACCATCTTATAGTTGGAATATTGCTGAGTGCGGTGTTATAGATCACAAAGAATTTTTATGATGTCAAATATGTCTTTTTAACTTTTAAACAATTAAATACTAATCATGCTAATAGTTACCGATGTTATATTTTGGATAACACTTTCTTAGTAAAGTACAGATTCTCGTACTTTTTTGGGTTAAGTGCCGTCCGGGATTCGAACCCACACTTGCCAGAGTGAGGCACCTAATCGCCAGCACACAAAGTCAGCGATCTAACCCACTCAGCCACCGAGGCTTCCACAAAAATGAAAGTCCGACAACTGGTAGTTCAGATCACGTACTTTGAGTACCCCTCTGACAAGTGTACATTGGCAATATGGCACAATATATCGATACACTTCAGAGGATTAGTGATACAAGTATGATTACTGCACGTTGGCAATACTTGCTAAACAGTACTTTGTTAGACAAAGTACTAGTGAAAGTCTCTGTAATCATATCTGTCAACATTTACAGCTAAAAAAGACCACCTCAGTGGTCAAGTGGATCGAATGTCTGCCAAGAGAGTGGAAGGTCCAGTGTTCATTCCCCGGCTGCGTCATACCAAAAGACGTTAAAAGATGGTACTTGTTGTTACCCTGCTTGGTTTTCAGCATTAAGGGCTAAAATAAGGACTGATCGGCTCGGAGTCTGTATACTGTGTCTGAGTGGGGTATTCATAGCATGGTATCTCAGTGGGCTAGTTCTATAAAATCGGCAATATTCCGGACTGGTGCAATTAGCCACAAACACACACACGTTGCTATACGTTGCTATATCAGTGCAATTATCTTGAACGTGACGTTTCAATAACCTCACCTCAGAGCTCCAGATAAGCTTTTGGTGATGTGGGTATTTTACCCATGCATTTTAAAATCATTGGGTATCAGTAACTCTATCTGGGTATTCAAATTTTTGTTACCCACTAGTTTTTACACATGTGGGTATGTAAGTTAAATATTTAGAAACACTATTCATCTAGTCCCTGCAAACTGGTGTCATGTGGGTTCGAGAGCTTTATAGGACTATAAAAAAAACACGATACTTCCACAAGAAAGTGTGATGGCAAATGATCATGTGACTGTCATCGTGGAGTTTGGCAAGGTTGACGGAATGCCCGTTTATAATTTGAAAATAAGTTGCTGATTTGCTAATCGAATACGCAGGGCTGCTTCACAATATTTTGTTGATACGCACAATTTTTATTTTTGTAGCTTATCTGTAATGTTTGTTGCGTATTTGGATTTTATTTTACTGTGTATTTCTGCGTTTCTGATGCGTATTTTACGCAGATCCGCAGCTTATCTGGAGCTCTGTCACCTCAACACACACGCACGCCCACGATACATGTAGACACTAACACACACACATGCTAATTTCCATATGTTCAAGTGTGTGTTAACAAAATATCGGGAAACAATGAGGTAGAAAGGTGCAGTCTAATTAGTGTGATGTAAACTGAAGGAGAGCTTCAGCTGGAAGCTGTTAGGAGGATATCGGGTTACTGTGGTATTAACCCTTGGAAGGTCGGGTCAATCTGACTTAATGAGGTCACATGCGTTTATTCCACACCTACCTCCTCCAGTTTGTCACATGGTGAGCCGACCCACGAGACTGGGCTCACGAGGCAAAGTCACATGTTGGAACAATTGCTTATACTGCAAATTTAACACTAGCAACTCAGGCTTGTCTGAATAACTATCGGGAATATCATATGATACAGTGTGTCCTAGCTGATAGCTAGGGTAGATAGGGTCGCTTAAGATGATCTATATCTGGACACTAAGATGTCCACAATCCATGCTATCAACTGTGCAGCTGACACAAAGAAAGTTCACAGGAATTGGGATTGATTTTGTGCACTGATTCTTTATCAGAGACTTTGATATGGAGAGGCTATTTCAGGTCAAATATGATGTACATTTTTCTCAGGAAAAGGGGGGCGGTCAGGTAGCCTAGTGGTTAAAGCGTTCGCTCGTCACGCGGAAGAC